GAAGCATAGGCAATTCGAAAAGGATACAATTGCTTGCTTCGCAACAACCAAATCTGAACTGCCATGTAAAAAGAGTATGTCAGCAGCAGTTCTAAGATTCTCAAATGGATAAGATCCTGAAGTTCCCTCTATTTTTGGCCTAAGAAATGATCTCTTATCGTTCTGCAAACATTTAACTTCCAGGTCTGCCCCTATTTCCTGACTATACTCTGGCTCTCTCTCAAGATTTTCTAAAGCATCCTCGATAAAGAGGGAAGCACCCTGTACATTGCAATCTGAAGATTGGTCTACAGCATCAGGCCATGCACGTTTAATTGCATTTGATTTCCTTTCATGTACAAGAGCATTCCACGATGTGAAATTAGAATACCGAGACCTCACATCCTCCAGAAATCCGTGTCTTATGCACCAGACCATTATGTCCAGATGCTGAAATAAAAAACAAGAGTAAGCACACCATCAGCACGAGTATCTTGCACCAATAACTAAAGAGCTAATATAGCTAAAACACTCTCTGGTCAGGAGCCATATGGTTTTAGTTAAGGTCACAGAAGTAGGGATATAATCACCAAGATACAAGTCAATGATGTAAGACCATTACCGTGTCTTTCATAAATCTAAATGTAGAGCACAAGTAAGCCATTCTAGTGACAGACAGACTAAACATAATGCTAACAGGAAAGTTTAATTTACAACGGGTGTTACTTGGGAAGTAAAGAAAGTTATTAAAGCATACTTTTGCAAAGCTGTTTCGACATAAATGGAACAAAATCGTAGCTGACCTGCTTTGTTTTTCCAATGTTCTCCCTAAGCTTCTGCACGTCTTGAAGCTGAGGTGAAACAGAACCCTTAAAAGCTGATTCCATAACTTCAAGCACATTACATATGCCAGCCACCTGTTTCGAACACTTTAGGAGCTTATCTAACCACCCTTGCATCTCTTTTGTTCCAAGCCTATCTGAGAACCAATATTAAAGATAGACAGACCTCAAGGTGCACACATATACTGGCTTAAGTAACATAAAAATTCTAACAACTAAAAGGATACAGATTTCTTGAAGCTCAGCCAAGATGCTCCGGAAAGTACGCTTGACCCAATCTTTGACAACAACTTCATCCAGCAAGAAAGCAATGACCGGGTCACTAGATACAGCTGTCTCATCCATACAGACATTGGTGATATCTATTCAATTTTCTGTCAAGGAGATGCCAATTATACATCGAACATGAAATTCCTCTTACAGAATGACAAAAACAACATGCACATTAAGTCCATCAGGGGGGGAGGGAATAAGAACTACCTAAAATTACATGAACCTATCAGTATAAATCCCCTAGACACTTCTAACTGCACATGCCTTACCATATGGAGACTCATGGTCACAGCTGTAAATGAGAAAACACATGCACACAAATCTATCAGACAGGAAACTAAAGACTAAATGCATATAACTGACAGCGAGCATAAAATACGACAGAAGGATACAGTGGCAAACTACAGATATCAAATTGTTGTTCATGGCAACATCAAACAGAGAATAAAGGCGTTGAACATCAGCTGCCAATTGATGTTCATCTTCATCCAAATCATGTGACACTTCTTCATATGTTTGAGAAATTAAACCAGCTTCAACACATTCGTAGTAGAGACGAAGCCGAAGTCTATATCCAGTTTTCGGTAGTGGGCTTCTACAGATTGGACAAACATCACACCTCTGACAACACTCTGTGCACAAGGAGGCATGTCCACATGGGTTTAACACATAGTGGACAAACCGTCCACAGCTCGCCAAGTCTCTGGTTGCACGACAACGCTCAATCTTCGCCTCATTACATAACTCCCTGAGGTTGATAGATGCCAAATGTATCAACGCCTCCTGTAATAAACAGGGAATGGACTTATAAGAAACGAAAAAACCAATTCTGAACATCAGTTTTAATAAACCAGGTAATCATCTACATTTTCACTTAACAAGCAACAACAATGGGAGTCAAACAAAATACCCTAAGACTGCAAGATGATAAGCAACTGAGAATCAAAATATCAAATTGCTCCCATATTCCATGCCTCAGCTTCTTTATACCATATGGTGTTCTAAACTTAAATTGAACACAAAATGGTAGCTACCAACAACAAATGGTCAACACTTCTGAAACCAAAGCGATTCAAAATACTTCCATACTATTTCAAAAGCCACCATTGAGGAATTAGAAAAAAGATTGAACTGTTTCTACACTCAGAAACCAACAATGCTTGTTAAACAAATTTATACAAGGTCTATAATTTGCAAAACCCACGAAAGAGGGTAACAAAAACAAGAAATTCGTAGGGTCTGGCCAAAAAAAAAAAAAAAACCCGGTAAAGCTGAAGTAACAAACCCGAAGACGAAAGACGCTAAAAGCAAAGCACAAAAGTATACAGCGAAAGACCTGAACATGCTTGCTACTGTAATCCGGCTGCTTAGGAAGAGATATCGATCTAACGGCGGAGGCAGAGCCATTGATTTCTCTCGCATCCATCTTCTCCGGTGAAGAAACAAACCCAAAAAAAAAATGGAGGTTATGGTTGGTGGAAAAAAAAAAAAGCAAAGTGTTGGCGAGTGATAAAACCAGTCTAGGGCTCCATTTAGCTTTCCTTCGGAGAGGGAAGACAAAGAGGGAAGAAGGAAAAAAAAAAAAGCCAGTGAATTCTTGTGACGCTCCTCAAACCAATCTC